TATATATATATATAAGCATAACTAAGTTATTTTTTTATTATAAAGAATAAGTTGTATGACTTTAATGAAATAAACTGAAATTTAGACGACTATTCATGAAATTAACTCCGGGACGGGGATAGTAACTAATTAAAAGACAGATAATATGTACATGAGAGATCGTAATTTACCAGTTTCATATGTCGAATCATATCAGAATCTGGAATTTGGCCTTTGCAGATTTCTTGAACTTCAGAACGTACTTTTTCTTGCCAATTGGGATATGCAGCTAATAACATAAGACACCAAGTTGCAGAAACAGCAGTTGTCTCAAATCCAGCCAAATAAATGTTCTTGCAATTATCAACAATGAACTGATCAATTTCATCTGAATTTAAATTGCTATTTTCTGCTCCTTCGAGAATTGTTTGTAACAAGTCCTTCTCATATCCAGTTTTCTTCCTTTCTTTGACCAACTTCAAGATTAATGTGCGAGTTTCCTTTTCTAATGCCCACATTTCCCTATTGCTTTTTGTTGGTAAATACCTATGAGTTTCAAGAACGTATTAAGAAGAATTCAAGTTTTATGAACGGTGTAAAAAATATCTATACAGTCAAGAGGTAATGCAGATATACAATAAGCGTCAAGTCAAAAACTAGTAAACTAGTAAAAATGGCATCTAACTAGTTATCAAAACTTAAATAATGTTGATATATAGTATAAAAATATTTATATTTTACTCATTGTATATAATTAAGGGAGTTTTTGTTATGATGGACGTTATTTTCAAATATTTTCTGAAATATGACTTATGTTTTGGAAAATGCATTTCGGTCTTTGGTTGGAGAGCGCAAAATATTTTTCCAAGAAAATAGCATTTATTGAATGACTTACTAATAATAATAGCAACATACTTTAATACTCCTTCTGTCTCAAATTATCTGTCGTGATTTCTAAAAATATTATCTCAAATTATTTATCATTTTAGAAGTTCAAGACACAATTAATAATTTTTTTCTTATTTTGCCCTTGGAAGTAATTGATTTTGATGATGGATATGACACATAAGAGATTATATCATAAGATATAAATAAGGATAAAATAGTCAAAAATCTCTTTTTTGTTAATGTTTCTTAAGGGCCGTGTAAAATAGAAACACGAGAGATAATTTGAGACGGAGGAAGCAGTGTTTTGATGAAATTTTTTAGTATTAAATATTGATATAATGTCTAATTGTCATTTAAAGCCGTGATAAAGAATTGAGATGATTCTGAAGGAAAATAATTTTTTTTCTTCTAAAAGTGAGGTCATTTTTCGCCTTTTGGTGAAAAATATTTTCTACAACCAAACACCAAAAAGTAATAAAAAATTTATGTAAAAATAGAGGTACCTCATGCCAGGAATTCCAGAAAAGAGAAATCTTTTGGTACAAACTTCTTCAAGAGCACGAAGCCTCACAAAAATCTCTTCTCCTTCTAAATAATTACTTCCAAAACATGCCTTTGATATCACATCTCCAGAAAAACTTCTTAAGTACGGATCAATTTTGATGTCAATAATGTCTTTTTCAGCTTCAATTTTCTTTTTCCATGATTTCACGAGGGATAATGCAGATTCTTGAATTAAGTTTGTCATTCCCTGCAGCAGATTTTTGAGTAATTGTAGTAAACAACGAGTTCAATATTTGTACACTGACAATGTATAAATATTTTATATAATCAAGTTAAATTAATTTTTATAGCAAGGTTGCAGGATACAACAGGTTAAAATATTGTAATAGCGTAAACAAAATATAACGTCATCAGTGTACATAAGTTAAATTTTAAAGGAAATTATCCATAATCAATAGAACTGGTAACCTGAAATTTAAGATAAGTACATAACCTTCTATAGTTTATGCAAAGCTCATTCACACGACTAGTGGTTATAAGATAAATCCTAACAACTCTACATATCAAGTTTGATTATGGTAATTTGTACATAGAGTAACAATCTGTTATAATCGATTAAATTGCATTGATAATTATAATTTCACTCATAAGAAAGATGGTTCCCCATACAACCAGGGGAGAACTAGAGTATTAGCTACGAGTTTAGATTAATCCAGTAACTTTTGCTTAGTCTCAATAATATTTAATTATGAACCTAATAACTAAGACGAGTTGCTAGGTTCGGTGACAAATTTTAGAACACATAAATATGGAACTCCACCCCCAACCAAACAACACAAAAAAAATGAAGAAGCATTAACCTACATAGCTGCTCACCTAACAACTTAAATTTAAAATAGGCGATGTATATATAATATATGTATAATAATGTATAACCAAATTATAATTTATGTATACCTGTTAAAAATAATAATCAATGAATCCGGTCACACCCCCAACCAAACAACAACAAAAAAGAGGAAAAAAGTGGACATATTGTACCTTAACCTTGTCCATATAAAATTCAGGTGCAATGACTTTCCTTTGATATGCCCAATGATTTCCATTGGCTGTGATAATGCCAGTACCAAGTAAAGAACCACGCTCTTTCACTTGATAAGTTGGTTTTCCCCAATCTAGTGATGTGCACATTGTTGTCTCTTTGATCAAGTCCACTTGTGTCACATTTAATATTTGTGTATTTCCCAGAGAAAACATGAATATTTTTCCTGCACACACTCCACAAATTAGAAGAAAAAAATAATAAGAATGCCACAAATTTAAACTAGCAACCTAAATCAATATTTTTGCCATCTTTCTCGGTTAGTGGCGGAGCCAGGAATTTTGTAAAGGTTGTTCAGAATTTAATATATATTTATAAAAAATAATTTTTAACTTATATATAATTTATATAATTTTCTGTATACTCAGTATAATTTTTCGATGAAGGTGTTCAATTAAACACACTTCACTCTATGTGGCTATGCCATTGTATCCCACTATATGAAAAACTTCTCTTATGTCACGGGGGCTCGACAATTTATATATATAGACAAAGGGATGCAATTGAACTCCATTCAAACCATAAAGCTCTGCCTTATCAGTACTGAGTTTTTACACCAATTCATACTAATTTATCATGATTAAGTGCTAAATTAAGGTAAGATGTTAATTATGTTTTGGTGATTACCATATTTGTGAATACATGTGTCATGTGTTTACTGAATTGGTATAAACACGACGCTTTGAGTAGACCGGAAAAAAAAAAAAGGATGGTGGTTGATGCATACCATATTTTTTCTGCCATTCCTCAATGAAAGGCAAGACAGAATTGATACAATTATGGTTAGCAGGAACTTGACCACATATATATGGCTTCTTTTTGGCATTTTTTCTGTACTTCATAATCTGCAAAGTATTCCCAAAAAGAATGGTGGGTGAAGGGCCATTTATGCCTTGTTTTCTCATAATAGACCTAAGTTTTTCTGGTTTTGTCACTAGTGCATTGTATGCATACAACACTAGTCCCAAAAACCAAACCAAAAGCAAAGAGGCAACAATTTTCATGACTTGATAAATTTCCATTCTTAGAGTTTTTTCACCTATCTCTTTTCTCTTATTTCAATTGAGATGTTTGACTAGGATTTTATAGCGTTAGAGATCACCAAATGTGGGAAATCTCAATGCTAGATTATTGGAATAAAGTTAGTTAGAGGGATATGTACTTTTTTAAAAATATTTTTGTATGAGTTAAAAATAATTTGGATAAATAATTATTCCACGCGTTGAATAGGTGCAATGGCAGATCCAATCATGAGTTTGCGAGTCCGGTAGAATGTAATACTTTGAGGTTGAACTCATGTATATAAGTAAAAAGTAAGTATAGATAAAATTAGATATATATTTTCGAATTCTGTCACGACCCGAAATTCCCATCTTTGGGACCGTGATAGCACCTAACATTTCACTTGCTAGGCAAGCCAATGTTAGAATAATTTATTTCATTTTTAATAATTTATTTTAATTAAATAATAAAGAAACCAACAAACAGAATAATATTTGAAATTAAATATGCAAACCAAAAATAATACGATGTCCAAATACCATCTCAGATCTGGAGTCACAAGTGCACGAGCTTCTAGAATAATACAAATAAGGGTCTGAATAAAATAAAGTTGTCTGAAAGAAAGCACACAACCGAGATAAAGTAGAAGGGGACTTCAGAGCTGCGAACGCTATGCAGATATACCTCAAGTCTCCTCTGATAGCTGAATCCGAGCAAATCTACAGTACGACGCTGGGACCAACTCCGATATCTGCACGAGAAGTGCTGAGTGTAGTATGAGTACAACCGACCATATGTACTCTGTAAGTGCCGAGCCTAACATCGACGAAGTAGTGACGAGGCTAAGGCAGGTCGCTTACATTAATCTGTACATAATAATAATAATAATAATAATAATAATAATAATAATAATAATAATAATAATAATAATAATAATAATAATAATAATAATAATAACAGAAAAAGAAGTAAGACCGGTAAGTCATAGCAATAATTGAAGTCAGTTCAGCAGTCATAAACCTTCAATTAATTTTTATTACGGTGTGCAACCCGCTCCAACAATATAAACTTAGAATAAAATCTGTTGCGGAGTGCAACTCGATCCAACAATATATTCTTTCAATTAAATTCCGTTGCGGCGTGCAACCCACTCCAATAATATAAACTTTTAATAATTCCATTGCGGCGTGCAACGAGCTCCAACAATATACACTTTAAAATAAATCCATTGTGGCGTGCAACCCATTCTAATAATATAATTTAACAATTCTTAAATGTAAAAATATATCAATAAATATCACATTAAATAAGAAATTATTAGTCAACAAGGCATACAATGATTATGATTTATTTAGGAAACAAGTAATGACAGGTAGCAATTAATTGTGGAAATCAGAGAGAAAATAGATAATTTAATATTTAATATGCTAAATGTCAAGTAGCAATTAAGGCACATAAGTCAAATAAGCATGTAGTAATTATAGCATCAATTAAAGACATAATATCGGACAAGGAATATGAGAGAAATAATTAATTCATGATTTAAAATAATTTATGATTTTCAGGTAAATAGGCAAACAATCAGTTTGACGACGTATAGGCACTCGTCACCTCGCCCATACATCATTACACATGAAATTCACTTAACAAATAATTCAAGGGTTCTATTCCTTCAAATCAATGTTAACCACGACACTTACCTTATTTTGCAATTTGAAGTGATCACTCGACCACAACTTTTTCTTTCGAATTATCCTCCAAATCAATCAAACCTAGCAAATTATTTACCAATAATTCAATTTGAGCTTTAGAAATTATCCACAATTCGAAAGAAACTTAATTTAAGTCATTTTCGAAAAAGTCAACAAAAGTCAACATGGGGCCCACTTTTCGAAACCCGACGAAAAATCATGGAACCAGGACACCCGTTCCGATACGAGTTCAACAATACAAAAATTATCGAATTCCGACATCGGATTGCCTTTCAATCTTTATTTTACACTTTTGGAAGATTTTATAAAAATCTGATTTTTCTTCAATAGATTCATGGATTCATGATGTTAATGAGTATCGAATCATGAAATTTAATCAATATAGGATAAGGAACACTTACCCAGCTCGAACTTGTGAAAATTCCTCTAAAAATTACCCAAACCGAGCTCTAAATCGCGGATAATGGAAAATGGGACGAAATCCTATTTCCAGAACTTAAGTTCTGCTGCCTAGGGATTTCTTCTTCACGAACGCGAGGGCAGTCTCGCGAACGCGATGCTTTTACAAGCTTGGCCTTTGCGAACACGGTCTACTCTTCGCGAATGCAAAGCCTTATCGCTTGGTGACCGACAATGGCCTTGCCCTTCTACGCAAACGCGAACACTCCCACGCGTTCGCGATGAACATTGTTCATTACCCTTCGTGAACGCGGTCCCTTCTTTGCGAACGCGAAGAGTAAATTTCGCCTGCCTCCAGTTCCTATTCGCGAACGCGAGACCCCTCTCACAAATGCGATGAAGAAAACCAGATACTGCACCAGAAAATTTCCAGCAAGGTTCCAAATTCAAAATTCATTCCGTTAATCATCCAAAACTCATCCGAGGCCCCCGTGACCTCAACCAAATACACCAACAAGTCCTAAAACATCACACGAACTTAGTCGAAACCTCAAATCACATCAAACAATGCTAAAACCACGAATCATACCCCAATTCAAGCTTAAGGAACTTAAGAATTTTCAGCTTCTACATTCGATGTCGAAACCTATCAAATCAAGTCCGATTGACCTAAACTTTTGCACACAAGTCATAATTAATATAACAAACCTATTCAAATTTTCAGAATCGGATTCCGACCCCGATATCAAAAAGTCAACTCCCCGATCAAACTTCCAAACTTAAATTTCTATTTTAGCCATTTCAAGCCTAATTTAATTACGGACTTCCAAATAATTTTTCGGATACGCTCCTAAGTCCAAAATCACCATACGGAGCTATTAAAATCATCAAAACACTGATCCGTATTCGTTTGCTAAAAATGTTGACTGAAGTCAACTTAAGTGAGTTTTAAAGCACTATTTTACATTTTTCACATTAAAACTTTTTGAAAAAATTTACGGACTACGCACGTAAGTCGATAAATGTTGAAAGGTGCTATTCGAGGTCTCAGAATACAGAAATAAATATTAAATTCAAAGATGACCTTTCGGGCCATCATATTTTCCACCTCTAAAAGAAACGTTCGTCCTCGAACGGAATTAGAAAATTACCTGAGCTGGTGAAAAGGTGTGGATATCTACTGTGCATGTCCGACTCGGACTCCCAGGTAGCTACCTCAATCGACTGACCTTTCCATTGTACCTGAACTGAAGGATAACTCTTAAACCTCAATTGTTGGACCTGCCGGGCTAGAATAGCTACCGGCTCCTCCACATAAGTCAAATCTTTGTGCAATTGGACTGAGCTGAAATCTAATACATAGGACGGATCACGATGGTATTTCTGAAGAATAGAAACATGGAACACCGGATGAGCAGCTGATAAACTAGATGGTAGTGTAAGCCTGTAGGCTACTTCACCCACCCTTTCAAGAATTTCAAAGGGTCCGATATACCTAGAGCTCAACTTGCCCTTCTTTCCGAACCTTATTACACCTTCATAGGTGAAACCCGGAGCAATACTCTCTCTCCTGTCATGAATGCAACGTCATGAACTTTACGGTCGATATAACTCTTTTGCCTAGACTGAGCTGTGCGAAGTCGATCCTGGATAACCTTGACCTTATCCAAGGCATCCTGTACTAAATCGGTACCCAACAACCGAGCCTCTCCCGGTTCAAACCAGCCAACTGGCAAACGACATCGCCTCCCGTATAATGCTTCATATGGAGCCATCTGAATGCTCAACTGGTAGTTGTTGTTATAGGCAAACTCTGCAAGTGGCAAAAACTGATCCCAAGAACCTCCAAAGTCTATAACACAAGCGCGAAGCATATCTTCAAATATTTGAATAGTGCACTCTGACTGTCCGTCTGTCTGAGGATGAAATGTTGTACTTAACTCAACCTGCCTACCTAACTCATGTTGTACAGCCCTCCAGAAGTGCGAGGTGAACTGCGTACCTCGATCAGAAATGATAGACACGAGTACACCGTGAAGGCGGACAATCTCGCGGATGTAAATCTCAGCTAACCGCTCTGAAAAATAGGTAACTGCTACTGGAATGAAATGTGCTAACTTGGTCAACCTGTCCACAATGACCCATACTGCATCGAACTTCCTCTGAGTCCATGGGAGTCCAACAACAAAATCCTTAGTGATACGCTCCCACTTCCATTATGGAATTTCTAACTTCTGAAGTAAACCACCAGGTCTTTGATGCTCGTACTTGACTTGCTGAAAATTCTGACACCGAGCTACATATGCAACTATATCCTTTTTCATTCTCCTCCATTAATAATGTTGTCTCAAATCTTGATACATTTTGGTGGTACTCGGATGAATAGAATACCGGGAACTGTGGGCCTCTTTAAGAATTAATTCATGAAGCCCATCCACATTAGGAACACATATACGACCCTGCATCCGCAAAACTCCATCATCTCCCACAGCAACCTGCTTGGCACCACAGTGCCACACTGTGTCCTTAAGGAAAAGAAAATTGGGATCATCATATTGTCGCTCTCTGATGCGTTCATACAAGGAAGACCGAGTGACTGTGCAAGCTAGAATCTGACTAGACTCAGAAACATCTAACCTCACAAATTGATTGGCCAAAGTCTGAACATCTGCAGCTAACGGCCTTTTACCAACCGGAATATACGCAAGGCTGCCCATACTCACAGCCTTTCTACTCAAAGCATCTGCCACCATATTGGCCTTTCCGGGGTGATACAAAATGGTGATATCGTAGTCTTTCAACAGCTCCAACCATCTTCTCTGCCTGAAATTGAGATCTTTTTGTTTGAATAGATATTGTAGACTACGATGATCAGTGAATACCTCACACGAGACATCGTAAAGGTACTG